TCCTGTAATGTAATAGGCGGCGAATTAGCAGGCGTTTAATTAATTGACATTTAAGAATGGGTTTTATTTTAGCCTGGTCTTTTTTCGCCGACGATTCTCGCGGCGGCGAGTGAAATTGCTCATTGTTGACCTTGCTATTTTCATTTGTAATTTAGAATGGTTGACGGGGAATGGGGTGTCCTGATGCCATTTGCTCCAGGCCATTTCGTCTGTTAAATCACCGATCTCACGAAATCGCATGGCGCGGACAGCACATGTGTCAAGCTTTGCTCAGATTCTTCCGAATGCATTGTTTTATTGTCGGGGAAGGAAGACTCATTTAAACAGAGCTACGGAGTGGACAGAGTTAGTGAGCCAGTGCCACCCAGATAATCATGATGTGTTTCGTACTAACTCAAATGTAACGCATGGGTTTCTGGCTTTTTGTGCTTGTGTTAAATTAAGCTTGTGCAGTGAATTAAAGTGTCGTCAGTAGGTAAAAAGAAGCATTTGTCCTTTCCTGGCTTCTGTGAGCTCATACTTTAACTAAACTTTCCACTCTTTGTATCCAAAGTCTTCAGTGTTGTAAAACTTTGTGATTCTCAGTAAACTTTGTGATTCTCAGTAAACTTGTCACAGGCTGAGTGCTGTGTTCCACAGGCTGCATTCAGTCCTTGCTCCCTGTTGCACTGTCCCTGGTCCCCCTGCTGTTCCCTAACTGTGTGCCGTTGGAGTGTGCACTGATGTTTGAAGTGGGTCATTTGTTCATGATCCCTTCCTGTCTCACGGCTAGTACCTGAGCTCACACCTGAGGTGCACACCTGGAGGCAGTGCAGCGCTTACAGCCAGTGACCCAGGGTCCCTCTACAGAACCCCACTCCTTCACTCACACTCAGGTCACTGGCGACAATGTAAAACCTGAATGAATCAGAGCTCTTCATTTACTAGCCCTCCCCCATCTGTGTCCCAGAGTGAATGCAAACCTCCCACTTTTCCCCTTCTCCCTCACCATTCTCAACTCCACTGAGTGATACCAGCAAAACCTTAGGTTTAAGGGGGCTCTGTAGTGAAGGGGTAACACAGGAGGGGTCAGACTGGAATGCAGCCACTGTCAGGGCAGCCTCCATTGTAAGTACACTGTATTACCGCAGTACAGTAGGGAGTGATGTAGACTGTATCCCTTACAGTGGGTAGTGATGTAGAATGCACTCTTTACTGTAGGGTCAAACGCAGGGCACTCCTTACAGTAGGGTCCAATGTAGCCTGCGCTTCCTACAGGTGAGCCTGTGCTCCTTATTTTAGGGAGTGATGTAGACCACTCATTACAACAGAGAGTGGTGTAGACCACTCATTACAACATAGAGTGGTGTAGACTGCATTACTTACGGTAGAGAGAGAGAGTGATGTAGACCAGATGTTAGGAGATGTTAATGCTGCAACCCTCCAGTTTATCCCAGAAGAAGCAAAGGGATGTAGCCACATTAGAGCCAGCGAGAAAGAGTAAGACAGTGGAGAGCGACCACAGTGAACTGAGTGGTGAGATTGAAAGGAAGGAGATGCCAAGGATTAGTAAAGAGTCTGATTAACTTTTAGCAATATAGCATGAGGAAAGTCAAAAACGGTGAGAGTCCATAAAAATTCAGATGTTTTTTCCTTAGATTATTGATTTGCCTCAGCCATAGGGCTCCACCGGAGGAGGCTACACCACGGATCTCTGAAGCAGCAAACAGCTTACAGATTGCTCACACCTCTTTGTGAGCCTAGGAGATGTGTCAGACTGGAGGAGGCTAGCAATGAAATGCCAAATGTCAGAGCGCCCCCTGCAGTTAGAGCGCAGAGCGCACTGGGTCCCCACTGAAGCAGCGGGGGGGTCTGAGACGGGGGTGCAGGTGACAGCAGCAAGTCCCCGAAATCCAGCCGCCTCAGGGAGGGGTACTCGCGCTCAGCGGGCTCTCCAGATCTGTTCCCCCTGCAGCGATGAGTGTTTGAGAGTTAATGGTGAGGGCTTGAGAATTGTGTCATTTGCTTCATTCATTAGTGTAGCTCTCAGTCCCTCCGGGGACCGTTCCTAACCCTCTTACCCCGGCCCAGCTCACAGGAAGGGGGGCTCAGTCTGCCAGGCAGAGGCCTGATTTCCTTAATAATTTCCTGCAGCTCTGTGACCTGCGCTTTTAAGGGTAAAGGGAGTTGAGAGTAAAGCACAATAGTGAGAAGAAGAAGTGTAACGAGTGAAATCTGAGAGGACTCAAGAGGACAAGGACAGGGATGCCTGGTATCCAGTCATATAGGGAATGGCTTTTCAGCCACTGTAAATTACAGAATTGAAATGTCTGACAATTATACAGGAGCCAGGGGGACAGTTAACATACAGACAGCCTGAAGCAGGTCCTTTCTCTGGGTTGTTTCTTTTTTGGGGGGGAACACAGTTGAACACCTTTGTTCAGATACTTTTTTTTACAGTGCAGGTTCTTACAGGGTTTTGCGCTGAGCTGCAGGATATCAGGAGCACACACACACTGGAACCTGCACAGGTCTCCACTAGCCTCCACAGCAGAGTCCTGCGCCACCTGCTCAAGCAAGCCTACTCATCCAACCCTCATCCAGCTGCTTTATTCCCTGTGTGTGTGGAATACCTCCTGTGTGGATTACGTATTGTTTGTGCGGATTACCTCCCACTGGCACAGATTACTTCTTGTGAGCGTGGATTGCTTCCTATGGTTGTGGATTGCTTCTTGTATAGCGGAATTATTTCCTCTACATATGTATGGATTACTTCCTGTGTGGGTGAATTGCTTCCTGTGCAGGTGGATTGCTTCCTGTGCTTCCTGCTGTCCAGTTGTTTAATATTCTGCCTTCCTGCTCTGTGCTTTGCCACAGTCTCAGGCAGCTTTGTGTTGTGGAAGTGGGGGGGGGGGGTGCAGATCCGGAATCAGGGCCCTGTCGTGCACGGAGGACATCCGCAGTTTCGGGGCGCCTCGTTCTTTTAACGGCTGCTGCTCCCTCTCTCCCCCCTTTCATCCTGATTAGCAGAAATGGGAGATGAAAGATTGTGAATGCACAGGCTGCGGGCTGCGGGACCGAGGGACCGAGGGAGGGCCTTTCTGCTCCGTCTGCGGGAGCCAGAACTGCTCACCCCGGCGCCTTCAGCACAATGGCCTCTTGGCTGCCTCTTTCCTGATTATCATCAGATCGGTGGTGATGAGAGATTCAACTTCATCTTTTTTTTTTTTTCGCAGAAGTACCTGTGCTTTAGAGCTCAGTCAGTATCTATCAGTGGCTGTGACATCTTCCTGCCCCTACAGTTCTCATGCTGTTGCCTTAGGTGGTGTCAGTCTAAGGACACATTTTTACCATTCCAGTCATGGCCTAAAGCCTACATTAGCGCTTGTGTGCCTGTTTGACACCTCTAGTCTGATATGACTGTTGGGTTTGGAAATCCCTTGATGTAAACTTTTTTTAAATTTAATTTTATTTTTTGCCCTTTCCCCAATCCTGTTTTGGAATCGTCAGTCATATACTAGGCTCATCTTGCTGCAACAACCACTGCACTCACACAAGAACACTGAGAAGAGGTGAATGCAATCCTCCAGCCAATGGCTATTTTTCACACTAGAGGTCACGGAGCACACTGCAGTGGAGTGGGCGCTTATTGGAGGATAGGATGCTACTCTGCTGATGTCATCCCAGCCACTTCCTGGTTCCTGACGAATCACAGGGTGCCTGAGAGTGGCGAGACAAGGAAGCCCTGTCTGACCCACCCACCTCTGTCCCTGTGAGGATGAAGCCAGTTTGCTCCCTTGCTGTGGGATCCCGGTCATTGCTGGCAGATGACACGACTGGTTTTGAACCAGCACACAGCGGCCTGATCCGAAAGCAGCTTGAGCTGAGTCATTTGGGATCCTTGTCGTGTTGAGTTGTGATGTGGTGGTTTGTTCTGGTTTGATGTAGCTCACTAACCGGATTTGCAGAGGCCATCCAGGTGAACTCCTTTGACACACAGTGCACTCTGGAGCAAGCACGTGATTTGCATGTACATCTGATCGCTGAAACTGGAACCCGTTCAGTACGGTAACCGCAGAGTTGGGTTACTGTGCTTTGCGATGTAAATAACCTCACTGTTACGGGAAATGGCCTTGCATCTCTGCTCCTCCGTGACATTCAAGCCTCTGTCATCATCATCGGAAACCATTTTACTCTTAATATCCTCCATCCCTCTGTAAAGACCCCAGTGGCAGCAGGGCCTCCATACCATCATACCATTGTACTCCATAACATCATTCATAACATCATACACACCATACCGAATGCTCCAGCTCGGTTTCAGAGCCCCGAAATGCGTGCTTCCTCCGGTGTACTACACCTCTACTCCAGCTCAGTTTCAGAGTCTCATGCTGTAACATGCAGTGCTTACAGCTCATCCTCTCATTTATAACACCTCCGCTCTGAATCAGTTTCAGAGCTTCCACACGCTTGTAACACACTGTTCACAGTGCATCCTCTCGTGTTCTGCACCTCCGCATGCGGCTGCAGCAGACCTCACCGACGGCGGGTGAATGTTCGCGCCTTCAGCGATGACGGATCTCGCTGATCCGGCCGCGCGGGCGGCTGTCGGGGACGGGGCTGATGTTATCTCCTCGGCGGCCGGACGTGCGGACAGAGCGGCCGCTCGGAGGTAAATGTCAGAGCACCGCGGCAGACTCTCGCCGATGTGAACTTCCCCTCCTGCCAGTCCTCTGCTCCTGGTACTCCGCTCTCAATATGTCACCTGTCAGCTTCCTGCACGGCTCTCCTCCTTAAGGCTACCGCTGCAGTGCATCATTCCAGGGCAGCCATTTCTAATCATTACCGCTCAGCAAGGCAACCACCTGACCTGTGTGTGCAGCTGCTGTTGTGTGGCTACAGCTGACATTATGACAACAACACGTCTGGGAGATCACCAGTGAAACGCCCTCCAGTTTTGGCAGTCAGAGGGTAAGAGAGTGGCAGTTGATGTACGTGTTAGGTTATTTAGCATAGAGGGTGGCAGTGTAGCATAGTGGTAAGGAGCTGGGCTTGTAATCCAAAGGTTGCTGGTTTGATTCCTCGCTGGGGCACTGCTGCTGTACCCTTGGGCAAGGTACTTAACCCAGAATTGCCTCAGTAAATATCCAGCTGTATAAATGCATAACATGTGTAAGTTGCATCTACTAAATGACAATAATGTAATGTGATGTAGTTAGAGTGAGTAGCTGCTCCTCTGAGTGCCTGGCCTATGTGGTTGCTTCTGCCTGTCACTCTCCTGTGTCCTGCTTGTGGCTGGACAGCTATTAGTGAGCGCAACGTTAGCAGTGAGGGGGAACCCCACACTCTATTGACGCGCGTCCACGCTGCGGGACTCTGCCGGTTTCAGCGCCGCTGGCCGATCCGCGGTGGCAGCGGAGGCACCAGACGCGCCTGCCGCAGCTCCCCGATCACGATGCGGCACACCGCTAAGCTAACACACTGCTAACCGTCTCCGGCACAGCTGAGATCTCTGCATCCTGATCACACCGGTGCCTGGCGGGCGCCCGAGGTGTCCGCTAACCGCGGTGGGCGGGGGCGGTGATGTATGCGGTTTCCTGAGTGCTCGGCTGGGGGGGTTTGGGCATTTGGCGAGCGACGCCGTAATCGCGGCTCTGACTCTTGTGGCTGCCCTGCCTTGCATTACTGCGTGGGAGCTGGTATCTGCCCTGGCCTCGGTGCGGCAGCTGCGATGGGGTGAAAACCTGGTGCTGTGTGCACTCTCAGCACGGTCTCATGCTCCCCGAATTCACTGCCCCTCCTCCGGTGTGCAGGGTTCCTCTCGAGGCTTCTCGGCGTAGAGTCTCTCCGCCAGCCCCGCCCCGCCCCGCCCTGCCCCGCCCCCTCCTCCCTTACGGGGGTGCACCATATGTTAGGGGAGGGTGTTCTGCTGGTGAAATAGCGAGTAAAATGAGGAGGCTGGAACCTTCAGAAGCGAGGAGGGACTCAGAGCAAGTGAGAGAGAGAGAGACATGCTGATCTTCCACACGTCCTCAACCAATCACACAAGGCGTTGTTGGGATGTGTCGTGTACTTGTTGCCACCCGGGTTCGAAGGACACCTGAGCCTGCGAGTGTGTGTGTGTGTGTGTGTGCGTGTGCGTGTGTGCAGGCACGTGTCTGTGTGTGTGTGTGTGTGTGTGTGCAGGCACGTGTCTGTGTGTGTGTGTGTGTGTGTGTGTGTGTGTGTGTGTGCAGGCACGTGTCTGTGTGTGTGTGTGTGTGTGTGTGTGTGTGTGCGCAGGCGTGCACGTCGGGGGCTCAGTGATCCGCAGCAGAGGGGAGGATCAGCAGACGCCGCCAACAGCAGCGGACAACAGCAGCCAATTAGGGGCCACAGCTTTGTTTTCTGCTCCCAAAACAAAAGCATTCATTACGGGCGACGCAGACTGTCCGGGATCTGTAACAGCAGCATTAATCAGCAGCCGAGCAGAAGGCCGGCCCGCTCTCCCACCGAATGAGCGGCTGCAGTCGCCTCTCAGGCAGATGCTGGGTCGGCCCGCTGTAATAACTCTTGCAGGAAACAGGAGCTGGCTCGCTGAACCGCGCGATAAGTTACCCACAGTTTTTCCTACAGGCGCAACTTTGCCGTGATATAGTCTTACCATTTCCCGGCATCATAAAGTTGGCTTTGAGCGTGACTCAATACGCCCTGGGTCCTCTTTGCCAATTTCATTCGCTCACGCATCAGCCCTAGAGCACGGAGTCGTGCAACAGGAAGCCTGTCGAAATCCTGGGAGTGCAGTCTGTTGTACGGTCGTGTCTGTAGTTTATAGTGCCGATAGATGTGTGTGTGCAGGTCTCGCGCTGACCCAGAGCACAGAGAGCAAACATGCAGGGTAAAGCAGACGGACACAGCCTGCCAGGAGTTGTAGCTGGGAATCATGAAGCTAGTGTTGTATAGCGATCACTATGTGCGTCCTTATGTGCGTCATAGTTTGTGTCGTTTTGTTGGATGAACTTTGTGCTCCACTCTGGGAGTTGCTCTGTGTAACAGCGTCTGCTCCATGCCGAAGGTTTAAATTGTACGTTAAATCTGCAAACATCTTGTATGTCGCTCCAGATAAGTGCGTCTGTGACAAAAATGTAATGTAAATGGTTCATTTACGTTTTAAATCAAGGTTTGGCCAGTTTTTCTCTTACCTCTTGTTTCTCACTTCGTTTCTCCCTCTCTAAGGCCTGCAAAACTTCCGCAATCATACTTTCAGAAGCACTGGTTTGGCTGAGGAGATTAAAAATAATAGGAAACTGCGGTAATTAATGCCTAATCTGTGAGCATTTCGTTATTTGCTTACAGATGGAAACTGGAAGTCAGCATCCGAATGGCTTCCTTTCAAAGTTAGTAAAGCTGCTGGTGTAATATTTTTAATAAGACCTCACCTTCAATTTGGTGCAGGCAACCTCCGTGCTTTGACTCAGGCAAGCCAATTTTCTGCTTCAGAATCCTTTATTAAACCTCCTGTCCTGTTAGATGGCTCTCCTCCCTGATGAACACAGTTTGTTTCAAATGAAAAGAGAGTTTCTTATCTGCCGGCTCAAAGAATGGGGGCTACTGTATTCATTTTCTGTGAGGATAATTAAACGGAATAGGCTTCTGCGAGTTTGATCAAAAAAACATGTTGATGGAAGTGCGTTTCCCTCTGTGTGTCTTTCCCTTTTTCTTCCCACCAGTGGTGTAGATAATGCTTATGACTAAAAAAGAGAGGGAGCTTCAATGTAATGCTCTTTACCATGAAAGGACCCAGGCCCTTGATCTGGTCTAATTGAAACAGTGGAGTCCAGATGTAGCTAAAAAATGCAAGCCTTTGTGTTTTAGCTGATTAACGTCTCTGTTAATTGGGATTTGGATGTTATTTTTTGGGGTGTACACCAGCAGGAAAGGAATGGGACCCAACTGTGCACTGTCTGGACATTCTCACTTTCTCTCTGCTGCTCCGGTTACACCCCTGTGATCGTTTGTGGCAGTTCTGGACTCCAGGGCGTAGTTTTACTGAGCACACTGCACGCGCTGGAGTGTGTCAGACTGAGCATTTGACACAAATGCTTTGAAATGAGGCTGCACAAGCCGACCGTGTTGAAGGTACCCAGTACGCCACAGACACGAACCATTGCTACTCACTGACAGCTTAGCTTAAGCAGTTGGTACACTTTTGGGAGTGCATTTGGCTCTGTATTGGTGTGTTTTCAGGAGTGTGTAGTAGTTGTGCGCATGTCAGAGACCTCACTCACTCATGAGTCCTCTGTCTGGAGCCTGTTGTAGGTTTGGGGCCTGCTTCACCTCACAAACAGTACAAACACACCCCTGTTGGCCCACATATAAGGCATTTTGTCCCCTCCCATTGGCCAAAGTGTGAGTGCATTCAGCTGACGCTGCTGTTTTTTTAATTGTATTGTTCCCTCTTTTCACCTCAACTTTGGATTCACCGACTCAGCATTAGGCTAGGCATGGAGGGAGGTGGCACATCGTCCAAATGTTGTTGGCTCTCCTGCAGTGCATTGTGGGACTGCTGTCTATCAAGGTACATTGGTGTTCTGAAAGGAAACTCTGCATCAGTTCCTGTCCTAAATTTTCCCACTGAGCGCCGGTGCTGTAGATCCTGTGAGTTAGGGACTGAACGGGGTAAAATGAAGAGGCTTTCCAAAGAGAGCAGTAATCCTGGAAAGCAGGCAGGTGACTCAGCTGACGCTGGTCTTTAAATCGTCGTTTTTGCTGTCACGTAGACTGTCGCCACATTCACAGTCGAGCAGGGATGGCGTCGAGCTGCCGGTCTGTCCGTCCTTCTGCTCCGCTCGTCACGGTTGACGCTCCCGCTGAAAGGTTGCCAAGGTTACCGCTGCTCCGTGTTTATTGGCTATTCATCATCATTCCATACATGGCTGTGTGACTGCTGTATTAATGACTATCCTCTCCGCCGGTAATTCCTCTAAACCTGCTTCCCTGCAGCCATTCATTCTCCCAATGCAGCAGGGACAGGAGGAGACGTCCGCCTGTGGGGGGGGCCAGGGAAGGGTGACCGCTGAGGGGTGGAGAGGTGTCCCCCGTCCCCCCCGTCCCCCGTCCCCTGTCCCCTGTCCCCCCATCAGGCGCAGGGAAAAAGCAGTGCAGCTCCACATTTAGTCATGTCAGACACAGCCTCATTGCTGCAAGACTGCAGCTGCAAGACTGGGTGATGCGCTTACACGTTAACAGGCCGAGATTGTTTGATCACCGGGGTGTCAGTGTAGCGCAGTGGTAAGAAACAGGGCTTGTAACCAGAAAGGCTGCAGATTCAATTCCACCGCTGGGACACTGCTGCTGTACCTTTGGGCAAGGTACTTAACCCAGAACTGCCTCAGTAAATATCCAGCTGTATAAATGGATAACATGTAAAAACTGAAACCAATGTAAATCTCTATGGATAAGAGCATCTGCTAAATGACAATACTGTAATGTAATTAGGAAAAAGGTGTTTTTGTCATTGGTCTGCAGGGACCACAGGGGTTTGTGGGGGTGTGAGAGGCTCCACTCCTAGAGCTAGATGGTGAAGTATGAACGTACACATACAGGATTGCAGGTATATCCACAAAATTAAATGGAACGGCTCATGTTTTGCCACTGGCAACAGGAGACGGTTCGCAGTCATTATCCTGTCTGGATCGGCCGTAACAGCGACGGATGTGTAATTCTTCAGGGCGACAGGGACTGTCTGTGACAGAGAGGGAGAGCGCGATGAAGGCCTGACCGTGGGTGCGATTCATATTCACGTCCATTTCTCAGGCGCCGCGGTGTAACCGGGCGCCGTAGCAACAGCAAGTGAATTACCCCGCGCGGCAGAGCGCTCACAGATTACTCTCCTGTAAGATTAGCGCACGCGCGTGAGGCTCGTTTACAGCTGAAAGCCGCCCGGGAATACAGGCGTTCACTTGGTTCACAGGTGACCTACAGGTAATGCAGCAGTGTGGTATAGTGGCAAGGAGCGGGGCTCGTAACCGATAGGTTGCTGGTTTGATTCCCCCGCTGGGGCACTGCTGCTGTACCCTTGGACGAGGTACTTAACCCAGCATTGCCTCAGTAAATATCC